GAGATTTGCGTCGAATACCTCGCCCTTGCAGGTGGTGGCGGGGTCGCAGCTCGTGCAGGTCTTCGACTCATGGGCGGGGGAGCTATCGCCGGCCTCGTTTGCGGACTTCTCGCTGCCATATCTAAGGTATATCTCTGCGAATTTGCCGAGGAGGTTGGCGGAGTTGGGTCAGGAGGCCGTCCCCATGACAGTGTTCGCGAAGGGTGCGTGGTATGCACTTGACTCGCTGTGTGGATCTGGGTATGATGTTGTGGGTTTGGATTGGCTGCATGATCCGGTTGAGGCGATGAACATTGCTCGGGGTAGGGTTACGTTGCAGGGCAATGCGGATCCGGGTTGTCTCTATGGTTCCCGCGAATCGATTACTGCAATTGTAGAAAATATGGTGAAGGGGTTTTGGGGTGCGAAGAAGGGGTGGATTGCGAATTTGGGTCATGGTATGTAGCCTTATTTTCTTATTGATTGGCTAGTTGGGAAAGGAAACCAAAGATGTTTAGATGCTAAGACCTAGGACTTACAGGAATTACTCCTCTTGTTGATCCGGAAGACTTGAGATTCTATTTTCAAGAAATCCACCGGCTGGCGGCGGTATCATGAGATGAAGAGGGGCCAATTGAGGGATTACAAAACCATTAAGATGAGAAAAAAGGAGGGATAGTTTGGAGTTCATTTGCGGTCGTGATATGTATAGAAGTTTGAGCTGGAATAAACCATATATAGTATGCGTTGACTTATGTGCAAAATAATTCAATCCAACGGGCACAGCATACGTCCAAATCCAACTCTCTCGCCGTTTTCTCCCCTTTCTTCCATCCAGTCCAACATTATGACCATTGACCTCACACGCCAATATCCTGATGTCTAGCAAAAACCATCAACGCAACCATGAATTAAAAATTAAACCATGGCGCGCCGCTCACCATATCTCAGGTGTCTCTTTGAATAAACTTCTGCATCAACTTCCACCCCTATTAATCAGGCATTGCTCGCCGCCCGTAAACGTGGTGTTCTCACCCACCACGACGCTCTTCAACTTGTAACAACACGCAGGCACCCCACGCACGTATCGTAGCGGGATAGTGTGGTGTACATACATTATTGCGTCAGCATAGACGGGGGCAAGCAGCCGGACGGGGTTTTCAAGCGCGGAGATCTCTTCCTGTCAGGTTGGATAGTTTAGTCATTGGGTTTCCTGCCGCCATGATTTTAAACAAGGGGCGGTGGTGGGTGTTTGCTGTCGCATGTATGTGGGAAATAACAGAAAAAGAGAAGAAAACAACAAGCGGACACGGACACGGAGACTGACATGTTAGGGTAGCGCTCCCTCACGCGCATGTTGCCAATGAAACCGGGATCTTGCTCGGGCATGATTTTTGTCAACCTCCTTGCTTCGCGTGTTGCGTTTTTAAGGATAATTCATATGGGGGCTTGGATGTCTGGGGTATGTTGCTTGAGGATACAGCTGTCTAATACCGGCAGCGTGGATAAGCTGAGAATTATACAATGAATTTGACAAATTTTATAGTTACTTTACATATGACTATCGGAGCCGGGCTGGAGCTCTAGCTCTTCTTATCGATAAGGGCTGGTTAGTGGTTGGATGACCTATATTTGACCTATACTCAGTATTCACAGATCCCGCTGGTTATTTCTGTGCATTACTGTACCAAGGCTGCCTGATTATCGATATCTAGAGGAATCCTGGTCAAATTGGAAGCTGCGAACATATATATAAATAACCATCCACCCCCTCGAAGACAACTTAACATGCGAATGCACAGTAAGAGTACGGAGTAAGTGGGGATTCGATGCCCAGGCGGTGATAAGCGGCATCTGTGCTTGTGCGGATTATGAGGCGGAAATTGTTCTTGCCAATCAGCTATTATTAGGCATGGCTCCAACCTTCTTTCTTTGTTTCGCTGGCCTCTCCCTGCTGTTGATGGGCGATAGAAGGCCACCGAAACGCGTACAAGAGCGACGAAAAGGCGACAGGAGGGCGATGGAAGCGATTAGAAACACCTGGAAAGCTCAAGAATCAGCCGCAGCAGCGCTAAAGTGCCGTGTGGAACTACGCCTTTCCCAATGCGGCAAGTCTCGGGT